TAATCACGAAAATGTACGTTTACTAGTACAAGGGAGTTATTTTATAAGGTTACTCCTTATACTTAATAGGGAATTCCATGGTTTGCTTGTACTTAACACAGAAGAACACTTACATTTTAGTGGAGTACTGATTCATGTTTTTGTTTTCTCTTTCTATGAGTCTTGTACGTGTCTTCGAATCGTCTTTTGCTTCAATTTGGAAAGCGAAGTCTTATAGAAGCTAAATTGCTCATAATAGCAACGTCCCTTTTTTAACGTACTGGCTGAAAGTGAATTGTTAGCTTATCAGATCCTAGAACTGATTCTTAATTCATTTTGTTTCATTTTTTTCCTTTGTTAGATCTGGGCTAATATCCAGGTGTCCGAAGAGCCGTATCGACTGATGTTTGACCTAACAAAGACCAACTCGTGGCAGCCTTTCTTTACAAAGTCGTATCCAAGGCCGGGGTTACTAAGCAACCAGGTAGAAACCTCTTGAGGACATTTTAAGAGCAGTTTGCAGTTGTCTGTTGAAGTAATTCTGGATTGCTATGGTTTTTCTTTACTTCTTGCCTTTGATTGGTCAAGAAAACTGGCGCCACTCTCTCAACCAATCAAACGCAAGATTTCAAACAACTCATCGTGACGGGGTCACTCGTGTTTTCCCGTGCTTCAAGTAATGCGCTTCTTTATACCTCAGCTGTCATGGCAATATTGAGATATTTTTCCTTTTTTTGTGATTTGCTCTTGTGATTACTCGGATTTTGGTTTAACTTCACTCATCAAAAAGCACTCTTACTGTAACCTTCGATACTTATACAAACTCTGAGAGACCAGAGGGCGGAGTGAATACCAGTGAAACCCAACTGATACAGTATACAGTTTTGTTAGAGAGGTAGAGGGAAAAAAACAATGTCTCGAGTTTTAGCTCACCTAAACTTCAACTAATCACAAAAGAATGTATAAAGGGAGTAAGTTTCTAAAAAAACTGTGGTGCTGCGTTGGTAGGAGAGTATAAGAGGTAGTTTAGTGGAAACAACTGAGCTGAAAACGTAAATTGGCCACCATATAGAGTCTAAAGACTGACGTTTCGAGCGTTAGCCCTTCGTCAGAGCGATTAACGATGGGCTAACGCTCGAAACGTCAACCTTTTAACTCTTTACGGTGACCAATTTACGACGTTTTTCAACTCAGTTGTTAATTAAAAGAATATAGTCTTCTTTGTTTTTGTTGGTAGCGTTGAGTAGAGGACTACCCGTGATTATTTATTTGATCAAGCAGAATATCGTTGTGTTTGTTTCCTTCCTCAGAGGGAAATCCTTGATTACAAGCGTGTGGACCAGGAGTATGTTACTGGACTTCAAGAAAAGTACGTACTCTAACCGTTTAAAAAAGACTGAAATAAAAACACTTGAACATGTATTTGCAAACCGTTCTTCGATTAAATTCTGAAGATAATCTTCACTATGATGGCCGACACGGTATCATGACACATAATTTAGATTACGTTCTTTCTTCGCTTTTTTCAGGATTGAAAAGATGTTGCGAGAGAAAATTATGTCTTGGAGACCTCGCTTTGTCACCCGATGGAACAGGTAACGACTGCGTTAAATGTTTCACTGTGTTATTTTTTGCGTGGGAACTGACAACTGGCAGCCACTGGTCTAAAAGCCTCTGTTTCTCGTCATCTGGCAGCCTTATGGAGATTTTTCTTTCGGATTGTGTGTGAAAACATAGAATGATATATTTATTTTTCCAACAAGATGTGGAAAAGTAAAAGATATTCTTATTGGGATTATTCGAAGCTTATTATCTTAACCTCAGTAATTGAATTCTCCAAAGAAACATCATGCTAGGTTTAGATTTGGAATGATATTCGTCTTTCTTTGCCAGATATTGTACACAAGCATTCAGGAGTCTTTTAGCCAGGTAAAAAGGAGTTAATTTAACATACAGCAGAATTATGCTATTGCACGTTACGAAAGCAATGAACTTATTGCCTCATCTAAGACCTCGTCCACACTAATGCGTTTTCAAAACGCTCCGTTTTCGTCATATTATAAACGCATCGTTTTCTATGCATCCACACTAGCGTTTTCATCGCGTATTTGACTGTCCGCACTAAAACATTCCAAAACGCATATTTGACTTGAAGTAACGTACCCGTTAATCTGCGCATGCCTGTTCGTCCTGTTCAAATCCAAAATCTTCTCAGTCTTTGATGTGGCTTACTTGCCTGAGTCTTGCGTTGCGAACCATTGGAGAGAACCAATGCTCTTAGAATAAATATTCCTCTTCGAAGAGTTATCAGCGAAAGGGTAAATAACGCAATATTAAGTTCCGAACGAGCGATTAAACAGGTCAATAATATCAAAAATATATTTGCTCGTCCGGCATATTTGTTTTAATTTTAGACGAGAAGCCCGGAAAAGAGGTTGCACGACGCTTTGACGTCATCCAACGTCGTAGTTTTGAAAAGGCTCCTTTTTCGACCGTCCACACTAAAGCGATATGCCTGCCTTTTCAAATGTCTCCACCTTTGAGAGCGTTTTCAAATCAGTTCGTCTTCATTTGGAAATGCATCCGTTTTCGAGCGTTTTTCTCTATCCTTCCCATTTATTACTTTTAAAAAGCCGTTTCGTAACATGACCATGCGCAGATACGAATTTTTCTTCGAGTGTTGATGAACCCGGTTTCTATGACACTTTACACTTGTGAGTTTGTGAATGGTGCGTTCACTGCGCACGTTGAAGATATTATGTTTTGAAACAGAAGAAGCTAGGGTATTTCCTCAATGTATACAAAATAGAAACCGTTTGGTTATAAGTCCCAGCCACTTTTCAGTATATTAGCAGAAATGACTGATTTTTGGGTCTCTCTGTGGTATATACTAAAACAGTTATTAACCTCGGTGTCGGTGAAAATGATAGATGTTAACCTCGCATATTTACTTTCACATCCACTTCGGTGAATTATTTATAATTGTTTTAACAGTGTTGTATTTTTTTTTGTGTTCAGCATGGAACAGAGTGTCAGTAACACTGCTAATGTAAATCATGCGGCTGAGCTGGACCAAATCCTCGCCTCTTACAAGGTGCGTCGGCTTAGGTATCTTAATGAACGTCCTTGCGTAAACACAGAGTTTAAAAATAGGATAGAATTATGTTAAGATAAAGCACTCCAGCTTTATTAGAATCATCGAGAGGCAGCCCGCTGTTACTTTGCCTTTTAAGGTGAACCAGGTACATGTACCGGATCAATATCAATACCTGGGCAACTGCCCACCTACCCCTCCCCTAACCCAATATTAACCCTAACTTGTTATTAATTGACTGTGATCATGATCATGATCGCTCTTTGAATATGTCAACTGGCAAGAAGGTGATGAGAATTGATGAACCTATCAGTTGTCTTAAGATAACATCGAGCTATCTTGACCAAGTTTTTGACAGACGTAGGGAACAATGATCATTACTCAACCAATATTGTGCGTGTCAGGGTTAGTTAACCAACTGCCGCCACATGGCGTTTGTAATTATCACTGTATTGACTCAAATGTTTTGATTCCATTCAGTTGTCTGGCTTTCCCATCAACATGTCCTTTACCGACATGCCTCCGGTATCGGAAGCGGTGTTCAGCACTGGCGTGCACTCAATAGAGGACCCGGATGTAGAATTCGCTTTGGCTGTACACATTCACCCCTACCCCCAGGGGGTGTTTTCGCTGTGGATTTATGTGGGAACCTTAAGAAGAAAAGCTGGTTATTAAACGTGGCCACGCACCTTGTTCCTCTTCCTGGCCGCCTCGGGAGTGGCTGAGAGAAATTCCTTTTTAAAAAAACTATTCAGGAAGGCTCGCATTGTATCAGGCTTTGTACACTGTAGTTGAGGTCATTGTAAATAGTTAGTTATTTTTCCTTCTGTGGCCTGCTGCTCTTCGAACACTGTTACGTAACCTTTTCACCAACAGGTTAAGTTCTGTCCTTCATTTATACTGGAAAAAAGATTTTATATGAAAATAACGACAATAAAGGCTTTTTGAGTTATAAAAGGGTCAGCAAAAAAGCTTTCTGCTTGCAAAAAAGGTTAAAGAAATCAGAGAAAAATGGATTTTTTGCTGGAAAAGAAAATAGGAACTTTCTCTACAACCGGTTCATTTGGGAGTGAAAGTCTAAAAGTTTGTAAGGTGATCATGGCCTGTGCAAGCTACTAGTATTTAATTTTTTTTCTCTTCTTCTCTTTCCTTGCTTTCGTGGTGCGAACAGTTAGGGCATATCTGAAACATTGCGATCTAAGGAAAAACCCGCTTAAAAGCAAAAAGAGGGCGGAAAAGATTCGAGAAAAGTTCCCTATAAATTAGGCTTGGGGTCAACATTTTAGCAAAAGAAGTAATGAAGTAATCATGCTTAATTAAGGCATGAATCAAACCACTAAACTAAGGAAATTGACTCAATTCACGAAGATCCGCCATGTTGCCAGATGCAACGATTTTGGCCAACTTCACGAATGTGACAAATGCCATCCTTGCTGTTTACCGCGGGGCAATTTCCTCCAATGCGCAATTTTCGCCATTGCGTGCATTTCTTGAACATTTTCCTGGCGCCAGATTTGGCTATGAATAGATTATCGTGTATTTCTGTTTTTTCGTTTCAATTAAGATCTGGCAAAATAATTTGGCTTTGAATAGAATATGTGTACTTCTCTTTTTTCATCTTTCATTAAGATCTGGCAACATTATGTTATCTAGTGCCATTAACTTTCCCAAATATGATAGCTTATTGCAAGTAAGAGCGCAAAAAAATAATCGCCCTCTATGAATTAAATCTCTATCTATATATATGATAAATCTGGTGGAGTATATCGGGGAAAAGGAAAACTTCGCGCGAAACGTGCATTTTCCGTCGAAAGAAATATATTAAGAAGCAGTGATTTTGAATTACTGCATATGAATATTCATTTTTGCTTTGTGCGCTTTTCTTGGGTGTAATCAAGAGAAAATTATTATTTCCTCATGGTATGACACGTTAACAATGCGCAAGGTAGGTGAAGTTTCTCGAATCACGTTTCTTTGAGATTACGTTGTGGTTTATCTCGCTTTTGTCTCTGCTCTCTTATTTGTATGTGCTGGAAAAGCTTTTCGACTCGGACTAGAAGCTAAAATAAGATTTTAACATTTTGTATGGCCTTCGACACTTGCCTTGTGTAGGATTCGAAGGTCTTTTGTTTCAGATGTAAAGACATCGATTGTTGACAGGTCAAAGTGATTCATTCAAATTAATCTAAAAGCTACCTTTTTGTTTTGGTGGTAACCATTTATTTTCCGGTGCACTCCTTAAATGGCGTATCACGAGGTTTTGCGCTAAAAAAAGCCTTTTATATTATCTGACTCAGCAGACTTAGCAAAACATTTGTCAATTTGCTAAACGCAGATTGAGTCAATGTATATTTGACTTTTATCTGTCTGATGCGGAGTCGCAAACCTTCAGATCAGGACCGGTAAGTTTTTTAGAGAATACAAAGTTTGTCCAATTCAACTCTGTCCGATTGATAGTATCATTAACGGATTTTGTTGAACTCGACTGACCCTTTTTCCATGCGATACGTAGCACTTTCAACAAGTCCATACCGTTAGGAGCGCATCCGAGATAACCGGCGAAGTGTAACACTGTTTTTGAGTATTCAATTCGTCCTGCGTCGAAAATAAATTGGATTGACTCAGAGGTAAATATTACTATTATCCTCTAAAGGTAAAATCAAATTGGATGCTACTTGAATGATACCCATGTCGAGTAAATAAATAACAGCCAGGCCAATCTTAACTACATTTTGTTCTGACTCTAGCACACTTTGAGCAACTTTTTTAATGGTTTCAAAGAATTTAACTTGAATCGTTTTACGTTTTGAGCAAGTATCAGGCTTCAGTACTCTTAAGTCGGGAAAGATAGTGAAATTTTTAAAGAGAAAATGAATATGTCTTCATTACTGGAAGATAGCGGCCAAATTGGAGATACAGAGAATACCGTGATAAAATCTTACTTTGCGTCAAAACCGTTTCAAACGCCGTTTCTGAGCGTGTTTTTAATTCATACGTTCGTTAGAGCATGCAGGTAAATTTGGTTCCTTGAAAAATTATTTGCAATCCATACAGATTCATAATGTACTGAACGATCGTTACACTTCAGTGTAATTTAGACCAGTTGAGTTTTTTCCTGTCTTCCGGTAATTTTCGAGAGACTAAATAGTTTTTTTTGGTGAAAAGGAAATTTGATTTGATTCGACAAGCAGAGAGGATGTATTCGATTCATAGTCGTTAGAGGTTATTTTCATGACCATGCGCGGTAGAAAGTCTAGAGCCCTTTCAACAAGCCCATTACACTTCTCTTGAGCTTTAAAATTGCTTCTGGCTTATTGTTCTATTCTAGAATGAAAAAAAGCTACATTGTTTTCAAAGTAATTTCGTGTTATTAAGTGTTCCATTCTGTTGCACCTGTTCTTGAAAACATTTAGCTCTTATTTGTTGTTTTTTAGTCCACTTCAGATAATTTAAGATACTCCAATATGTCTCTTCTCTAATACATTTATGCCAACGAGTTTGATTGTTTTGTTTTTCCAAAGATTAAAATCAAAAAGAGAAAAACCTACTCATCTCCTCACTACGTCCGTTAGTTGACCGATAATCCAATATACATCTTCTCGAGATATCAAAATCAGTTCAGAAAGCTAAATATAGGATGAAAAAAATTGGGGTGTAATTTGATTCGAGGCGATGTCTTTTTTTTTTCCTTCAATCGCACACCAAAATTAACTTGTGATAAATCTAGCTCGTAGAAGGAAAAAGTCTATGATCCAATTTAAGGCTTGCAACAATCTATACTTCAGCATAGTAAGAATCCCCGATCAGATCTCCTTTGAATGAAATATCATTCATAATCCACAGGGCAACAAGGTTTTAAATTTGTCATTTAAAAGCTGTGTTGAAAGTGATCCACACCATATATCTACCTGTGACGTTCAAACGCTCTATTGATTGGATATGGATGAAGGCAAGCAGATCTTACAATTAGCATACGAATTTAGATTCTTTAGAGGAGGAGAGAAAAACATGGAAAGCAAGATCATCTTTATCAGTCCATGAACTGAAAAAGGGAGCGTTCTAATTCAGCCCTTCACTTACGTTTGTGCGGTTTATATTAATAATCACTCTACTGTAAAATAATTTTATTTATTGCAGGTGAACTTTCCGATTACCATTTCTATGCGGCTTTGTTCACCTCTTAGAAACACAGCAACGTGTGGTTAATTAAAAATATTGAGACAACAGCCAACCAAGATGAAATAAATATTCTAATTGAAGCAAGCGCTTGTACTTTTGAACTTTAAATATCACATTGTTGTTTAATTTCAAATGTAAATAATTTCTCTCGTTCTTTGCCTCTTGAGCACTAAAATTCACCTTTCCTCATTGAATTAAATAAGTTTTCTTAGTTTTGGTTTGAAAGCTATACTGACCTAATGAGATAAAGTGAATAATTTCCCTTCGATTTTAAAATCTCTTCCGCACCTTGAAGCATAAAGATATTAAAGTTGTTAAGAAAAAAAATCTTTTTTCTATTTTTAGAAAACCAACTCCATGTTTCTGTGCACGCGCGAGAGTGAATTTGATTCATTCTCTGGTTGATGGCTTTTATATCCAAAAAACACAAACACCCGTTAAAATTTAGACAGCACTTTGTTGTTCCTTTTAAAGATCCTACCGAGTCAGAGTAAATAGGCCTTCTTTTGTCTCTGATTTTAATTTTAATAATTGATCATAGTTTTCACACAACATCTGTTTGTGTCCACTGCGTAGGCTTTGCTGCAGCCGTGCGCATGAAGAGGAAATATTATGATCGCTTCTGCCCTTGTGCTCTTAATAAATAGGCATTAGTCTTACCACCAAAGGTGTAAGCTTTCAGGGAGGTCTAAAAATATGTGTAATTAGAGACTCGTAAACACCTTTTCCTTCGTGTCTAGCGTACATTTCCCACAGTGAAATACGTCGTGAAACGCAGCTTAGGTATGTCAGGAAGGAATTAAAGTTAAGAAATTAGCCGGAAAGTCATATCTTACCGGCCGATATTCCTCAATAATTAACAGTACTCTAGTGTAATAGTAACGGGAAACTTTCGGTAAATAAGCATTAAAAAGAGAGCCCTAGCCAGGTACATTACGAAATTGTCTTAGACATTTAAAGAGGACATATATGCGCTTCTTACGTCTCGCTCTCAATGTGATTGTCCTTGCTCACTATATGTAGAGTTACTAACGCAATCTCCGATGTTTTTTTCATCGTAACCATGTTATATCTATATTCGTTAGAACAGTGAAATTGAAGACATAATTTGCTAAAATAAGTTCCTGAGAAGCGACGAAAATGTCGAATGAAAGTAAAAAGGGATTGCATTAAATAGACGGGGGAAAAGGAAATTCAGCAATCGCAACTAATTTTTCAAATTGTGCGTGAAGATTCTACCGAACAATTGTGCAATACGCAATGCTCAATATCTGTTCATTTAAGACCTCATCCTTTAAATAAGGAACTTTTTGAACTGTGGGTTGCATTATCCACACTCGGTGACTGTTTATTACAGTTTGGACCCTCAGCTTGAACTGCAATAAACTGAATACGCGCAAAGGTCTAGAGCGAATCTTCTGATAAATAATTGATTTATCTGCTATTTCATAGCAGACTTGGCATGATCCAAAGGATAGGGGCGATATGATGACCACAAGACTGAAACAGAAATTCCTTGAAGGAAACAAAGGCGGGTAAGAAAAGGGAAGCTGGGGTGAGAGAACGAATCCTTCATACGCTGTGGAAATTTATGCTCCATCTTTGCTAGGCCGAAAAAAATTTAAAACGCCACTTTATTTGTTACGGGTACCCGTTTGTCTCTCGTCCACACAAGTTCGGATGAAATTTCAACAAATTGGAGCACTCCTCAAACGGGGTGAATTTGTGAACGCGTATCTTTTTTCTTCGCTAAAACAAACCGAACACAACAATCCAGTTCATAAACGGAGCGATAGGAAACAGCACTGACATCACTTCTCAAATTATGCGCACGCTCGAGGATGACAGCGGCAATATTGTTGTGATTTCGAATTTATTCAGCGTCGTGTAAACAAAAAAAGATTCATTCGTTTTTCTCTGTGTACAGCAAACCTTTGGGAAGAAAACGCTGTTTTCAAAATTTTAAGGAGTAGTGTACATTTCCCTGCAGAGTAAATAGTTACATTATGATAAGATTCCATTATAATACTAGATTTAACAGCAAAAAAAAGAGCGGGGCTCTGGACATTGGAATCTCTCGACCCCACATGCTGCATGCCGTGTGCTGTTACATAACAACAATATTTATTACATAACCATCTCAACACTTGACTTTGATATGTTGGAAAACGAATAAAATATGTTTGCGAAAAGAAAAACCTCTTTCGGTCGTTGAAAAGAAATTGATGATTCACTCACAGATGACATAGCTTTCACCTTACATTACCATTTAAAGAATTGGTCCAAGAGGGTAATAGGAAAATTTCAAGGATCTTCCACCTTTTCCAGATTTTCGACTGACCTATATTCTTCAGTAAGGTTTTATCGAAACTATTTGATCCACAAAACTATTGCGAGCTGTAACGCTAGATTTTGTCTTTGTAGGAGAATCTATGCACAACAGATTGAAGTTTCCTTTAAAAAATGAGCGAGATTTGCTCGTGGAGTAGTTTGCTTTTAAAAAAGTGTATTTTATCCTAATGTTTCATCTCAGCATATTTGTCTAACACGAGAGCCATTTCGAGTGCGGAGAGCTTTCTCAAGTGCAGATGCTCTTACCAAAGTCCTGTAACTAAAGTTCATAGTCAAACATTTGGGTCGAACGAAACGAGAAATATAGTGTCTCTAGGGACTTTCACGTCAAAAGTTCATTATGCAGAAGGTTTTTTGAAGATGAAATATTGAAAGATGATATTTTAAAGCATTTCATTTTCGTTTGACATCGTAATCCAAAGCTTCATTTTATTTTCGACACTAGGTAAGTTCATAACAAGGGGTTTGAATCAAAATTTCCTGATTTGCAATTATGTTTGGGTTTATCTGTTTCGATGTCACACTCGGCCCACACTCCAGCTAAGGTGACGACCAAACAAAGAGACCGATATGGATGTATTTGTTGCAGCTATTTAAAAATATTTAAGGGAATACAAATCTCATCGACACCTACGAAGCACTTTGATAACAACATCAGGCAGCTGATCCTTCCACAGACTTTCCATTGGCTTACAGGTGTTCACACTTCACGGCCGACTCAAACTTTTTTTCTTCGATGTTTGCCTTCTCATTTTAGACACTATCGTCTCACTTCTTTGCTGGTTTAATTTTCACCACAGATGAAATCATGGATAACCTGCAACAACTTCAAAATCACGTTAGTGCTGAAAACTCCAGCAAGACAATCGCGAGGAATGAACTGGCGCCGCATTCACCTTGGGGTCCAATGACTATCATCATAGCGAGTTTCCTCGTCGTTGTGATATGCCTTGCCACAGTTGGTAACCTTGTGGTATGTCGACTTGTCTGGGTTTGTCGGCGCATGCAGATCCCGTCACTGTACTTTGTGGCTAGCATGTCATTTTCTGATTTCCTCACGGGTTTGCTGGTTTTGCCGCTAAGTTTGGGCTACCACATTAGTTATCAGAATACAGGTAAATATTTTACTTAATCGAAAATAGACAACACAAATTTAAGAGAAGGGAGGTAGGTTTCTAAGAAACCCTGGTGCTGTGTTAGCGGGGGATAATTACGTAAGATAATCTGGTTTCATCAACTGAGACGGTTGATAATACAAATTGGCTACCGTCCTTCCGCCCTTCGCCAGAGCAAAATTTTTAAAGTAAATCAAAGTCGGACTTTCCAAAAAAGCGTTTCTCTATCTTGAAAAAACAATGGGTTCAAGAATAGCGTGGGATGAAAGCTCGCCTTAACTGATAGAAGAAAACGATGATAATGATAAATCGATCGACCGATTTGTTGAGCCAAAGCTGATCGAAATTATGTTTGCTAATTGCAAACGCTCAAAGAAATTTCACTTATCGCATAGTCATCGCCCATTGCTAGTATGATTTTTGCCTAGAAACGGAAGTCGTGAAAAACGAGATGATGTTGAACAGATTTGAGACTTGACCTCTCACCACATGGGAGACACGATTGAGCCGTCATCGGAAACTTGACAAATGTTCTTGAAGCAGGGGGGAGGGAGGGGGAGGGGGAGGAAGGAGGAGGTAGATGGGTCAGAGACAAGCAAGAGCTGGTTAGACGGTAAATACGTTTACTTTCATTAATTTTTTTTTAATAGTTAGGAGACAAACCTGTGTTCTTTTATTTACTTCAGTATACTTGATCTCTAGGTCGATGGACTTTTGGTCGATTCACCTGCGACCTCTATTTATTCCTGAACTTTATTCTGTGCAGCGCC